CAAGATATTAATTTTGAACCTCACATGGAGAGTATGAGCCACATATAAATACTCATTGCAGTCCCTCCACATCATCAAGAATAGTAGAGGTAGAACAAATTAATATAATATATGAATAATTTAATTTTTATGCAACGGTTTCAAATTTAAGAGGACACATGAAAGTGTCACCAAACACATAAATGTAATATATGAATTACTATGTGCTGCTCAAAAATTAATTTAGGATAGTTGCACCGCTCATTCTAAGTTATCGGTTACTGTTTGGATGCTTGGTATAAAAATTGAATATAATATTCCTCGAGAGTGCTTCAATGACTTCATAGATTTGCATCAGACAAAGAAGGTAGTATCAAAGTTGGATTCACTGCTATAAAAATTGGTTATTGTATGAACGGATGTGATAGAAGTTAGTTGTTATGCATGTCGTAAAAATCCAAATTTGAAAAATAACAAAAAAGAAGGATGTTCCTTATTCTCGGTTGTTTTATTTGCCAATTATTCTCATATTTCAACAGCTGTACACATCAATGAGCTCCGCAGGTCATATGAGATGACATAAGAGAAGTTAGCTCAGAGTGATGTTCTTTCTCATCCATTGGATGCTGAAGTATGGAAGCACTTTGATATTACATATCATTCATACGTTGTCGAGTCATGTAACATAAGATTGAGATTATGTGCTAATGGTTTCACTCCATATAATTAAACAACTTCACCTTACTCATGTTGTCCTGTAATATTAACGACGTACAACCTTTCATCAGAGATGTGCATGACTATCCCTTAAATATTTTTTTATGCTTATAATGCCATGATCACATAATCCAAAAATGAAAATTAATATTTTTTACAACCTTTAATTGATGTCCTTATGTTATTGTGAGAAGAATGCGTTCTTACATATGTTATTTGGTTGAAGCAAAATAGAAAAGTTAGTTTGCCCTTATCGCATTGAAAATACCAAAAATTTCACACTAAAACATGGAGATAAAAACTCATGATTTGATTATCATTATATGTCAAATATTAATTTCTTTGTGTTTAACTGCAATGTCTTTCAACTTTATATTTAACTACAATGTTTATCTTTACATTTCTTTTTAATGAATAATGTAAGAAGGATTTAATATTTTTTATTTTAATTATAGATGATTTTAGGTGATGAGCCTCCTCATAAATCTATTACTTTAATGTTTAGTCATAGGAAGAAGTTGACCACTAGACCTATAGGGTTGAGATACACTCAGCAAGGTCAATGGAAAATAGTTCCATCGGTGCTACAGTAGCACCGCTAGGAAGTCACCATCATTCCTCCACTGAGTAGGGGTAGACAGTTCCACAGGCCATAGGAGTACCACCATATAAGGGTTCACTAGATCCCACCGAATAAACAAACTTTTTACCCATATTACTCCCCATCGCCATCACAAATAGTTCTATCAACCTACACTTATCCTCCTTACCATCATCCTTACTATTATCCACCTCCCATCCATCCACATCAAGTTGAACCATTTATAGAAGCAGAGTATAGGGCTGAGGGCCTAGCTGCTATAGAGGATAAGCGTCAGTATATAAAGCCTACGAGCGATATGTAAGTTCATATCATTAGTTAATTTTGCAATTTGATATGTTAACTAAATGAGAAATATTATCTGAAATATATTATTATGTGCAGATTTAATCCCGCAAGGTATCCAACTTACAAGATTTAGGACATCAAAAGGAGTAGATATGATGCTCCATGCTTATCTTGGAAGAAAATTCCAAAGAAGGTTACAGATATGTGGTTCAAAAAATTTCAAGTAAAAAATTATGATATTTTATAACATTTTTAAATAATTTTATAGTAGTATATTTGATTATGATAATATTTAACAGAAAGACTTCAAATGCTTGCATGAGCATAATGCGATGATCAGAACTAACTTTGAAAAGAGAGGTTCTACTTGACTTAAGGATATATCATTGACATTAGCAAGTATGGCGAGCGCCCATTATGGCATAGAGTTTAGAGCTTGGGCCACCCTTGAGTTCACTAAGAAGAGAGAGCATAACAAAAAAAAGAGCATCCAATTGTGGAGTTTAGGAAGCTCTCTCCACATGAGTTGTTTATTGCCTCATGTTGAGTATAGGCGGATGGTAAATGATTCCTCTTATTTCACATATATATTTATTGTTTTAATTATGTTCTCTTGCGAAAAAGAGGTATTTAGTCGAGAGCCTACACTGTTAGAGCTGCATATACAAATACATAAATGCCAAGCTAATCATCAGTGGGTTAATGAGAAGGTAAAGAAAACTCATGTGAGTATCCAAATTTTATTAGTGGTCACAAATAATATGCAAATATAAATGAATTTTCATGTACTTAATCTCTTGCAGGATGATTTTATACAATTTTGGGAGAGTCAATCTTCTATTATTGAGGGATCATCTTCAAGATCGACGCAATACTTTGAGTACCGCACGTGGTTACAGGCTATTGGAGGGAGGCAAAAGGGAGGGTGTATGGATTCGTTTCACAAGTATACGCATATGAGATAAATCCATCTACCTCAGCATCATTTTGTGATAGTAGAGTTGGGGATATCATCAATTGGAGGGTGGCTGCTCTCACCAACGAGACAAAGGAGATGAGAAAAATATAAACAAGCATACTAATGCAACAGTCTGAGATGCATGCAAAGATGCGATCATACCTAAGCCAAAATTGAAAGAACAAAGGTAAGCAACTTGAGCCTAAGTCTCAGGGGAGCAAAGAGACTGAAGATTATTAGAATAGATTTTTTGATATATTGAAAAATATTATCAACTTTTCGTTTAAGTTATTAATGATGTTTGGAGAACTTATTCTAAATGTAAGGATGACAATGTTGTGAGATTTACGTTGATAAATCGAACAGTTTATATTTACAACTATTACATTTTAAAATTTGTTAGATTTATATTTTGAATGATTTGGAATATGTTATTATTAGCTTTGTTGTATCACATCATGATGGAATGTTTCTTTTAATATATATGTATAAACTATTATAGCCTGAACTATGTTTATTGTTTTAGTGAAACAATGAAGTGCTGCAAATTTTTTTTTTTTAAATGTTACAGGTTTCTGATAGAATTTCTATTGAAAATCTTCGATACAACGCCATTGGATGGATCAATTGAAGCGGGGGACGGAATCGACGTCGAAAATTTTTGACATATCATTTTGCTGGAAATTTCCAGCAAACTTTCAGCCGAAAAGTTAGGTGGACTCAAAGAGGAGCCATAACTTATATCATTACTTTTAGAAGAGTTAACCAAGATCATTTATTGTGGCATTTACATATTTCTTATCTCCAACAAGCTCTTCTTTCTCACCATATTAGGCCTCTTTAGTTGCTTCAATCTTTATCTTCTTTAAAGGACAACATAACAATAACTCATTAGCATCTTTATGCTTCTCCCATTATTGACAACTCTAGCATCATTGTAAAAAACTTCTTTGCTAACATCATTATTAATTTTCACCATAACTTCAAAGGCAAAAGAAAGCTCAGTGGAATAAAATGAAAAACCTTCTTATTGGACAAATGAACTCAACATTAATTGCTCATTGTAGTCATAAGAGGAAAAGCCTGTTCATCAATACACTCATTAATTCAAGTCATTAAAGCTATTCTCTCATTTATAACAAACTCGACAAATGAGCCCAGGCATAAACTGTTCAACCTTGCTTTATAAATTTATTTGTATTTAGTCATAACGAGATTGGATTATAGGATGATTATCACTCATTTAATCATATAATAACATCAATTTGCACTCTCTAATAGAGATCTAATAAAATCCTAAAGTCTCTATCTTCTGAGCCATTCTTTTAACTCATACTTATTAGAATGATTCTATTATCATCCATAAATAGATTTGAACCCAATATAATTTTATTTACATTAAAAAAACATAATTTTAATAATACCAAATATAGACAATAATACTTCCAAAAATCCAACAGCAATCAAGAAAAAGAATTTGAATTGTCTTTAACCAATGATAAAGCTAAAATTCATCATAAAATTACTATTTACTCCCAATCAAAAAGGCATTCAAACAATTTTTTTGGGACGTTTAGGTCAATTAATATAGAAAAGTCGCTCTCAAACTTAAGGAGAAAATCTATAAGATCGTGGTGAGACCTACAATTCTTTATGGTGCAGAATGTTGATCATTAAAAGAGAAACATAATACTAAATTAACTGTTGCAAAGATGAGGATGCTCAGGTGGATGAGTGGATTTACTCTTAGAAATAGGATATGAAATGAGCATATATGTGAAAATGTTGGAGTAGCTCCTATAGAAGATAAGATTAGAGAGAATCGCCTTAGATGATTTGGTCACATAAAACGATAGCCTTCTGATGACCCGGTTAGGAAAATAGATGTATTAGATTTGACTTATATTAAGAAATGTAGAGTAATACCTAAAAAAACTTGGTTAGAAAACATTAGAAATGATCTGTCTTTAGCAGATTTAAACGAGAAATTGACTTTCGTAGTGGGATAAAAACTTGATGTTATTGTATACAATACATATGTAACACTCGAACATAAAATTTCTTAGTTGATAGTCAAAACTTTCAATCAACAAATCAAAATAAACTGCATGAGATTCAAATTTAAAAGACATCTAAGTAAAAAGTTATTTTTTTAATGAATTGTCAACTTTAACTTGATCCACAGTGCCACAGAGCCACAATAAGGATTACAAACTGTGAAGAGAATTTAAAAAAGCTCAGAGCATTAAAAGTTGTTTGTCTGCTCCTTCGCTCTACAGTGACTTGCTAGCTATATGGTACTGGAATCGCATGTACGACAGAGCCACGGGAAAATTGATTAAATTTAAAGAATGCAGCCAAACAAAATGATAAAGACAATATAAAAGATTTTTTTTTTTTTTTTTGAAGATAGGTACAATCGTATAGACAAGAAAAAATAAATAAATAAATATATATATATCATCATAAATATGCTGCCGGAATTGGAAGCTTTGCTTTTTCTTATAACAAGCTTTGCTTTTACTTTTTTAAATAACCTATTGAATAGTACTTTAATTAAGACCAGATTTTATTGAAAATACTGATGCATACATCCAGGACTATACCTAACCCTACAGGCAATGACAGTTGACAGAGAAACAAATGATAGGGAAATCCAATATTTCCAACAAAAAAAGGTATCTTGGATCATCGCCTAATTAGATAATGCATGATACTCCTAAAACTTAGGAGTTTATAGCTCAGTTGGTGTGCGTCCGATGGGAACTTTCTATTCCGAGTTCGATTCCCTCAAGCGTTAGCGCCCCTTCAATGGGAGCCCCTAAGTGTCGGCTACGGTACGGTGACTTGAGTGGCCTAGTAGGTCGGTTGGAATTCACGGACTGCCGAGCATTGCAGCGGACAGTTCCTCATCACAAAAAATCAAAGAAAACATTATTATCCACCGTTGCTTAGTTTAGTTGGTGGGCGACTACGGTTGGTAACCCCCAACCCATGCTCGATTCCCCTTGAGCTGCAGTGCCTCTTTAGTGGGTCCAATCAAGTGCGGACCAAGAGATTTCTGAGGTGCGTGCATCTTTTAAGTCAATCGAGGATTAGTCATGCTGCAAAAAACCCTTTCAAAAGTGGCAATGGTGGATACCCCACCATTCCAAAAAAAACATTATTTTATAATGGCGCCGTACATTGTATTTAACATGTGCGGGGAAGGAGAGAGAGAGAGGACAAACCGATGGAGGGACCTCTCCAGTGCATACACGTATTCTATGTATCTCCTCTCCCCAAGTCCTCACGGGAATCCAGAGACGACATAATATAATGAAGGTGCAGGGCGTACACCATGCCTTGCTGGATTGCATGTGAAGCTCCTCTATCTCTCTATGCATCTCTTCTTTCTCTCAGATTCAGATAAACATGGCTTATAGAGAGTTATGGTTTCTCTCATTCTCTCTCTCTACCTAGTCATCAACAAAGCACCCATTGCACAACTGGCAGTTTTAATTTCATCTGAACTGAGGAAACCGAGAAGGTGTTCCAAGGATGGAATGGGCAAAGGACAAGATTGGTCTGGGATACGGGTATAACTCAAGGCTTCTTAACTCATCCTCAAACTACTTCTACTGCACCACTGAAGCACAGAGAGAGAAAGAGGAATCCAACTCACTCCCATTTTCATCAAGCAAGACTGAGAATGGAGAAAAATGGCAACTTGGAGGAGTTCATGGATGCAGAAGAGAGAACTGATTCTGAATGCAGCAGTGGCTGTCAATCTGGCTGGACTCTTTACTTGGGCCAGTCACAGGAGAGCTTCACTGCCTCTCGTCAACAAAGAACAGGGAAGGAAGAAGAGGACTTGTCCATGCTCTCTGATGCTTCTTCTGGTCCACCCCTTGTTCACGAGAACAACAACAGCTTCTGCTGCTGCTGCTACAATGAAAGAGATGGCTGCCTGTGTAATGACTCATTTCTTACGCTCACAGAAGTGGCCAAGTATGGAGACAAGAGAAGAAGTTTTGAAGAACAGAAACAGCAGAAGGAACGGTCTTTCGGTCTATTGGAGGACACTGCCAGCTCTCCTGTCTTCTCCTGCTACAAGGCATGCCCACTGACTCATTTCTTTCATTTGTGATGCTTCTTGAAGCTAATTTTCTTCCATTTCTTTTGGTCTAGGCCACCAACAACAGCAACTGCAGTAGCAAGAAGCTGTTAAATGCAGAAATCATGGAGCAATCCTGTAGCTTGTCTGAAAACCATTTTAAGGTAAGAAAAAACTGGCTTATCATTGATTTCCTTGCGTTCATTGCTTTCGTGTTTATTGAGTGTGTTGAGATGATCACTGTCACCCTCCACAGAGAAAGATTGAATTGCAAAAGCAATTGGGTTATCAGAACTCTTTCTGCACAGGTGAATCCAGTAGTGGTGAGTCTGATTCCTTTTTTATGTTGTTTACTGGAAAAGCACCTCCTTTGTCTCACTCCTACATTTTGTTCAATAGGTTTGCAGGGACGAAGGTGAGAAGAAACAGCTCTAATGGAGGCAAATAACATGTAAACAGAATCAACAGACTCTAAGACCAATCCATGGCCTTTTCTAATTTTCTTGCTAATTATTTTTCATTGCCGAATATTTCTCTTTTGTTTTCTTTCGTTCATTCCCAACATTTTGGCCCGGCAATCCTGTAAGAATCATCGGAAGCAAGAAAAGAAGATATAAAAAAAATTGCTCGTGCGTTATCTTCTATTTTATTAGTTCTTTTGTTCATAAATGGGGAACAAGCTGAAAACTCAGTTTGTTTCATTTTGTGGTCATATTCAAAAGATGTCCCTTGGAGGATGCCACATTCTCTGTTCTAATCCAGAAATCTAACTACCCTCCTTAATGAGCAAAACATGCCATGATATGGATGAGTTTCTATGAAAAGGTAATATAAACGAGGAATGTCCCTTTGCTCCTTACAGGAGTGCTGAAAAAGTGCTAATTATGTTTGAACTATAAAATTTGCTCGTTAATCATTCTAATTGACATCTCATCATTTCTCCTTTTTTTTAAATTTTATGTTGAAAATTTCATCTCCTATAATTGTTATATAAATTTTTTATTTAATACTAAGATAAACTCTTATTATTATTATGAATATTTAATAAATATAAATATGATTGATTGCATGGAGAGATTAATTAATTTAAAATTGAGCAACTAGATTATTATGTTGGACTTTCTTAATTATAAGTAAATTTCTTTGCAATAATTGTGAGGATATTTTAGAATAAAAAAATGACAGCACAACTTAGAATGGTGAAAAAACAAATAATGTTCTAAGATAATGAGATGAAAACAAAAGGTGAACAAATGGGCCAAATGAAATTTTAAAAACGAAAAATTATATTTGAAGTGTGATAAATAACTAATTGCATCAAGAAATTTAATAAAGTTTTGGTCTTAAAACATATTGCACATAAGAGAAAACTGTGGAAACGGTGAAGCAAGATACAACCAATGGTTATAAATAGAATAAATTTTCTTCAAAAAATGACAAGAAATGACCATTGTGAAAGAAAATAGTAATAAAGAAGCTATAAGTTTATTCAAAGATGGGAAAAATCAAATTAAAACCTAAAAACTCAATAATTTATATACTTAGACTTCGAAATCTGGGATGGCTTTCTCACTGTTTCTTAAAGCAACTTTTTAGTATAAAAATTCATCCTAAACAAAGCCTTAGTCAAATATGAGGGTAGCAAAAAGAGAGACAAACTAGTTGATAGACGAGAAAGGTGATCAAGAGATTTTGATTGCTAAATGTTACCATAAATTAGTATTTAAGTAAACCTCACAAACTGTGTTGTCATACTTGCTTAGCATAGTTGCTACCTGTTTGTTGATTTTGGTAGTAAACAACTTAATATGAGTTCAGTATAAATACTTTCTTAAGCAGTCACAGCATGTGGTCTTTCTTAAAAAATAAAAAAATAAAGCATGTGATCTTTCTTTGGCATGTACTAAGTGATGAGAAATAAAACGTTTACAGTATGCTGCTGCCTTAACACAAATATAAGTATCTGAACCATATAAATCGGCATTATTCCACTCACATAATTGTCACTCGAGGATCAGCAAAAGGAAAAATAAGAACTAAGCTAAAATCATTTTGTGAATTGATTTAAGTGGATATTTCGTTTGTTCTTTGATTGTGGTTCTAATATTTGGTAAGTAAAAAATATGTTTATTTCTGATTGAAAAGGGATTGAAAAAGGGATTGATGGGGAATGAAAGATAAATACTATGATTGGTGATTAAAAAGGTGATCTGGTTGAAAAAGGCCGTCTCCGATTATCTGATTTTGTGTTTATAAAAGGACTCTAAGAGAAACCACAAAGAATATGTGGAATAAATTGGAATAACTTTATATGCAATATCTCTCACAAATAAATTGTAACTGAAGCAGTGTTTTATCTACTTAGCATGGCAGAAGTCACTTAAAACATCATTTAGATTTTGTGTTATTACATATGTAGAGTCAATTGAAGTTAAAATAGAAAAATATGGTTGTTGTGTTTCAAGAACAACCAAAAAGAAGACTTTTCCCCTGAAGATACTCCGATACTGAAATTAGCAGGTGGTATTATATGCTTATGAAAGAGAGATTTTGTAAAACCCCTCCGAAGCTGATTTTTTTAGTGCTGTTAGTCCGGACGAACTGACTTTAGTTCCGGACAAACTGAAGAAAATTGTGAAGAATCTGTCAATTTCGTCTAGACGATCCTGTAAAGGTCGGGACGAACCGAACAGAGAGCATAGTCCAGGGACGAAACAAATTGGAATTAATTTTCTTCTGTACGATCCGTGTCCAGAGGAGTTCGTCCCGGGACGATCTGGGAATCGTCCTGGACGATCCTGCTTGATAAGTATCGGATTTGAGATATTTTGGAAATATTTTGAGGAGAGAGCAAAAGCAGGAGAGAGAAAGAGAAGGAAAGAGAAGGGAAAGCTTGATTTCGGAGGCCGCGGAGTGCTTTTCGTCCGACGACGCAGTTGGAAGATTTGTTTGTCTCGCAGTAAGGACTCCGAATCCTATTTCTGATTTCGAAGATTTTGAGTTTTGATATTTCTGTGCTCAGTTTTGTGTTTTCGTTACCGAAAAACAAGCATAATTTTGTATTGACGAAAGTTTTACCGCACAACTTTTGATATGTTTCTGATATGATATTTCTGCACGATTTGAGTATTTTCTGTAAAGTTTCTACCGGTTATTTTGAGTTCTGTGTGATTTTATCGAATAGAAAATTATCAGGATGTTGGAAATTGTTGCTTCAGTATAAGTAAAGCTTTGTAAAGTTATTTTATTCGATTTCTGATAATTTGATAATTTTCGGGAACTGTACATTTTGAAACGACGTCTGTCTACTATACGATATTTTAAAGGGTTTTTCTGCATTGAGCTAAATTGTATTTATTGATTGCAATACTTCGTTGATATGCATACGAATGTGAATGTATGATTGAATTAATGTTATTGTTACTGAAAGACAAGTGAAGACTGGTTGAACCGTTGGTTGGAGATTGACATGACCTGTACAGGATGGTGGGCCGACGGACTTTCCTTTAAAAAGGGTTTGGTGTTATCCTCTATTGACCATTGATATAACGATTGAGAGTCATAAGGAGATTATTATGCCGACGGGCAAAGAGTGACGACTCTATTATTGAGCCAACGGATATATGGATATTTCTACAAAAGCACAATGGATATACAACGATACATCGACTTGAAAAACACTTTAATAGCCAGTGATTGTACTTGTTCAGTAAGACTACTGTATTGAATTGCATGTGTACGGTATTGACCTCTCATTATGGATTCATGGATTTATTGATATCGACGGATTTGTATTGAAATTTATTTATTGACAAATTTACGGATTTACCGTTACTGTATGATTTCATTGATATTCGCATTATGTTACTAAGCATTGATACTGATAATGATATGGATATCGATATTGCATTGACTTATTGTTACTATGGACATGGATACTATTGATTCATTGATATTGATTCATTGAAACTATCGCTTCATTGATACATCGCATTGAACTGCTGCATGTAATTCATTGATCAATATGGAATAAGTTTTACTGTATTGATTTGATTTCAACCGTTCTTGCGATGTATTGATTTGATTGTTTTATATGATTTCATACCGATTGATGTTATTGACCAGAGATAATTGATTTGATTGATTATATTGATACGATATTGATTTAACGGTTATTATCGAGACGATGATTTTCCTCTATTGATTTAATTGGATTCTTATGAGATTTATCGTATGTACTGATTCATGGAGCTTTATGGACTTCTTCCTACCGTTTATCGATTCTTTTACCGATGATTGTGGATTGTATCGATCATGCATTGATTACGAATTTTTCGTATCTGCTGCATAGATTCACTGATCATGTGCAACTGATTGTTATGGATTTGATGGACTGACATGCATATTGTTTCAGTAACGTGTTTTGATTTCAGTTGTAGGTATTAGGTGACCTGCTGGGCTTTTTGAAGCTCATTATATGTGGTTAATATTTTCAGGTCAAGGCAAGGGAGTAGGAGATTGAGATTGATCTGGAATCCTCAGGTTTTTGTTCTTTTTGGTTATAGTGATTCTTTTGTACTCAGGACATGATAGATTTCATTTCATGTGATCATTGTGTAGATCCTGAGTATTGTATATGAACTTTTGGGATATGAATATAATTGTACATTGATGTTTTTATATTATAGAATTTTGTTAGACTATTTGTTATTGATTGAAGACTATAGATAGCTCTAGTAAATGATGGATGGTTTTAATGGATTGACTGAAATTCTTTCCAAGTTAGATCTTGGGGCGTAACAGATTTGTCTAGTTTTCCCAAGAAAACTCAAAAAAAAACTAAATGATTTCCAAAGACTTCTTTCATACGGAAGGATATTTATAAGATGGGGGGTCGAGAGTAGATAGTTCCTTTTATGGGATCAACAGTGGATGGAGACATTTTATCTCCAAGGTTTACGCCAGATGAAAATGACCCTGGTTAAGGAGTACAATAGACCTCTAGTTGATCAAAGGGCGAAGATGAGAAATCTCATGTTTGAGATTAGTGCTGGATCATTCTACCCCA